GTTTCAGGTACCAGAGCAGCACAAAGGGCCCACCTGTGGGTTTCTTTGCTTGGTCCTTGCTTTTGCCTGGTCGGTTTGCTATTTTAACGAGATGTCTAATTCACCGAGGGTCTGCAAAGGATGGACTGTCAAAGCGGATCTTCCCAGACACTTAAGAGCCTGGGTGGCCTCTCTCCTCGTCCAACCCAAGCCAAATGGCAGAACCCATGTCTCTGGACCTGTGCTCTCATGGAAGCCAAAGAACTTGACCGCACTTAGTGGGAGTTCAGAATCTTTAGATCAGCTCAGGTGAGTGTTGTGCCTAATCATAGACCTGCTTTCATTTGGATGCATCCCCTTGGCTGTTAAATTGGTACCTGGAGCAAGAAATGCCAACCTCAACATGCAGTCCCCCTATGGCCAGGCCCCCTCATTCCTGCCAAGTACAGCAGCCCACTCCCAGACCAGTTCCCTGGACACCCCCTCCAGGTGTGGCCAAGGGAGGCAATTAGCTAGGCATGTCCCCAGGCATTTTCTCCTAGAGTTGAGCCAGAAGCCAGAAGCCCCCATTCTCCACACAGAGCCCGAAGCAAGCTCAGTCCTCACACTAGGGCCAGGCCCCTGTGGGGGTACATGCACAGACACGGCAGAGGGGGAGGCTACCCGGGAGTCACTCTCACACTAAGAAAGGGGTCCAACCCCCCCACAAAAAAACCCCCACAAAAGACAAGGTAGGTGGGGGTGGGGAGGGAAGAAAAGAAAGTAAGGGGGGAAAAACAACTATGATGGTTCGCCCTCATGGTAAGACAGGTCAGCCAAGACATACCTTTTGATTAGGCCCGCACAGCTGTTCACTCTTGGGACTGCCAACAAGGTGGGTGGTCTTCTCCATCGCCCCAGGGGCCTTGAGCAAGTGTGGCTTTGGTTTGTTTCAGGAGATGCTATTGGAAACATAAAACAAAGTGCCTGGAGGGCACTATAAAAAACAGGATACGGGAGGACTCGATCATCCAACGGGGATTTCTAAGTTTGTAAAGAGGGGTGCGGGGCAGGGAAATGTACTTCAGGTAGCGTTCTTCCTTCCACGAGCGCAGCTCGGGTTGCTGAGTCCATGACTTTCTGCTTACGTCCCGTTCCTGCATTTGGAAATCGCTCTTCACCAGGAGGAAAGTGAGGGAAAAACCAGCAACCACCGAACAGCGGCTCCGCTGATGGAGAAGAGGAGCCCAGCAGCCGCTGCTGGGGGGGACCCAGGTGCCGGAGGGAGGCACACAGCAGCCCGCACTTCTCAGCAACTGCTGACATTTTCTCGCAAGCAGGGAGGAAGCCGGAAAGGTCAGGGATGAGAAATGGGGAGGGGTCTGCCAAGGGGAGCCAGACACTCCGTGGGGTACAAAGTGCAATCATCTCCCACCGAGGAACTCCTCCTGCCCGGGTCTCCTTGGATCAATCCTCCCCCAGTGGCTTCCTTCTAAACAGGGTATTACTTCAATTTCTTTGATTTTCCTTCATTCTCTCTCTCTCAAAAAAACAGTCAGTTTCTAATAATAGTTAGAATATATAAATAATAATTTATTTAATGTAATTGGTTCTTTGTTTCCAAACCCAATATTCCTCCTCTCCTCATTTTGCCAATAAATAGGAACACTGAGGAAATCAACTCTGCTCATATCAAAAAGATCCCCTCCCCCGAGAGACAGTTCGCCTAACTTCTCATTGCTCTGGAAAAGAAACAGCACATCACGAGGCCATCTCTCTGAAGGACTAGTTTGCTCTTTTGTTCTGTTTTGTTTCAGTAGTTTGTGCTTCTGCTGTACATACTCAAAATCGAGGGCAAGGGGGAAGGGATGGGTGGAAGGCAAGAGGAAAAAGCAAGGATGAAGGGAAAAATCTAAGGTTGTCTTTCATTTTTTTAAAAAAATGTGTCAGAACCAGAACAATGACCAAGTCAGAGGGTGATGGCTAATTGCCCAGAGAGTCCATTCATGGGTTTAGCAACTGCCCTTTTTGTCTGCTGTGGGCGAGCCCCGGCCACTGCGGCGTCCTCGGCAGGAGTGAGGCTCTTCCAAATCGTCCTCATCAAAGCCGTGGAAAGTTGAGGTGTCACTTTCTGATGTGGAACCGAATAAGTCCTCCGTGGTGCGTGCTGCGGCCGCTGCCTCCTTCTCCTTCCTGCCTTCTCTTCCCAAATGAGCTGACATGTATGATGAATATATCAGCACATGGGTTAAGCAACAGACAGCATTATTAATATTCTTATTATATTATTACAACATTATGCTTCATAGCAAGATCATAAACCATTTGCACCAAAAGAGATTAACTGGGTGCATCACCTGGTGACAGGGATTTGGGGTAAAAGGACAAAGCCAACATTTCCAGGAAAAAGGATTCCTCCCTCCCTGAAAAGGCATCATCTCTGCCATAACATGTACGTCCACAGCTCTGAACGTGAGTGAAAGATTCCTCACGAGATTTTTTTTCTCTTCTGTATGCACGCACATGCGTGCGCACGCACACACACACACACACACACACACACACTCACTCAGCCCCACCCCAGACAATGAGTTGACTTGGTGGGTGTTAGCCCGGCTGGTGTTTCTTTGGTGTTTTCCATGGGTGTTTCTTGCACAATGTGTGTCCTTCACTTTGACAGGCAGCTCTGCAAAGGTATTACTGTCAGATAACCCGTTCCAGGCGGTTAAGCCTCCATCTGCTTTATTTTTGTTTTTACCTGTGTCTAATCCCACTCTTTCAGTACCCGTTCAATTCTGCCCTTACACCATGTGGCTCATTTGCACTGAAAGCAAAAAGAAGCTGAAAAGTCCGACATGTGGTAGATAATAAGAGTCTCTCGTTTTCTTTAACCACTGGAGGACATTATTGTGATCTGCACCCACATACATGTGCCCACAGATACATGTGTGTGCACCCATGCACATGCATGTGCACACGCACACACACTCCAGCCACGACACATGCCCAGGTCTTCGTTACCCCAGAAAGTCCAGAGTTGTCAAATCTAACTCAGAGCACTAAGAGAGTGAAAAAATAGGAGTTATTTCCTGAAATTTGTACAACTCAGGTTTAAACTGTTTACATTCTAAATGGGCCCCAGGATTACCCCCAAATAAGGTCATGATAGGCCAGTTACGGTGCCAGGATCGGGAATCTCATTTTCTCCCCTGGAAACAGGAAGTGGGATGGACTGGGAGGGAATGAGAGTTCTTCCAAGCTCCACACTCTTCCTTGGAAAAACTTCCCTAGAGAAGTATTTGCCCCCTATCTTAACAAGCACATCCCATGGGTTAATGCCACCTGTTTATTCCCAAGGTATCAACTGTTTCAGGAAAATCAGAGGCAGACCTGGACTAAATTAGTCACCAAAATTAATCCTTGGCAAATGCAATGAGAACACCTAGGCTGGTATAAAATGGTCCCCTGAGTCACACAGCAGACAGATCCTGGGAAGAAAAAGCTGAGTAAAAGGCTGTGAAGAAAAAGGGTTTGGATAGAAAAAAAAAAATCAACTACCCACGTCTGGTCCCCCATGAATCAGATTCAAGTACCTCATCTCTTATAGGGAAGGAAGGGAAGGAAGCAGCTTGTAATGAGGATCCGGAAGCTGCCCTCTCTAGCACGTCCCCCGCGGTCCAGAGCCTTCTGCCTAGGGCATCACACCCAGTGACTTCGCTTCTGACGGCCGTTCATTTTAAAAATACTGAATTGAATCTCATTTGTTTCATTTTCTTTTTAAATATCTAAAACCCAGAGTCCACTATCACACAAGCCCTCTTTTCTAAACTGGCACCAGCAGAGTAAAAGGTTCAGCTTTAGGTATCATGTTTTCAAAGTAAGTGAACTGACAGGATTGCAGTGGGCCACCCGGTCAGGGTCCCTAAGTGTTAAATGTTGAGAGTTGCACGCAATGGAAACCACTCCTTTTTAAATTACTTCTCAAGTCAGTCTTGAATCTAAACAACCCAAAAGCCAAATGAAAAAAAAAAAGAGAGAGACTAAAGTTTGTGGACCAAGCAAAGGAAGAACGGAGTTGCTCCAGTACCCCCAGGTGTGGTCACCTCGGCCCTATTCTTGGACATAGGAGGAGAAAGGACACAGGGAAGCCTGTGGAAGGAGCAGGGCCTCCTCGCTGCTGGATCCACTGTCCACCTGAACTGCATCTCACCTACAAGAGTCCATAGTTGAGGAGACTAAATACAAGTCTGAAATCTCTTGTTGGCCTAGATATGACATAAAAATCTATGAAAGATTGGTAGTACAACCAACCACAACCAGCCAAAGGTAACGGTTTGGTAAGAATTAAAAAACAATCAACAGCTTGAGCAAAACTTGAAAACCTGAATTCATTTTAGGGATGAAAGAACTGGATCCAAGTCTTTTTTTATTTTAGTCTTTGGAAAGGTTAAAAATGAAAATTTCAAAACAGGCCAAGCCAACTTCAGATTAGCCCTAAGAACACTGCCATTCTGTCTCCTTCCTCTGTCAGGGACTCTTTTTGGTTCCACATGAGAAAATGGGTGAGCGGCCAATGGATGCGATATTGATGCTACTACCGAGCAGCGCGGGGGTCTCTGACTCCCACAACTCAAAACGTAGCTGCCGCCTCAATATTCATGTTTCCGTACCTTCCAGTGCGCCCAGGCACTTCCGCAGAACAAACGCAGCTTTGTGCTACATGTACAGCACCCGATACAACGAAGTGCTGTCTCCAGGTGTCCCCACATTTCTCACAACACCACACACAAAGGAATATCCACTTCATGAAAAGGCCAAACACAAGACCAGAATTTCTCCCTTCCCTTTTCCCTGGCTCCCGAGGCATGATTTCTTGAGATTCAAAGTAGAAAAATATCCAATGACCTGAAAACTCCTCTGTACTTGAAATCATCACCACCACCAACTTCCCCGCCCCACCCTCCACCCCATGGCAGACGGCAGAGGCGTGCGGGGAACAGCTGCTGGTCTACGGGCACAGGTGCAGGAGGGGCCACACTCACCAGAGCGTCCGCAGTCTGCACAGGACACCAGCTCTTCAGGCCGCCCACTCTTCTTGTTCAGGTTGGAGCCTCCCAAGCAGAAGTCACAGTAGTTATTAGGAATGACTGTCCCATCCGGTCCTTTCTGGGCTGTAGAAACATTTTTTTAATTGAATTTTAGACCGAGATGAGTTTCCACTGCCCCCTCTTCTCCCACAGTCTGGCAAAATCTGCTCCAGAAAAAAAGATGAAGTTAAAATCTGAGGTTTTGTTATGACTACGTTGTAAATAATACCAGTGTTGCCCTGGCCAGTGTGGCTCAGTTGGTGGAATGTCATCCCATGCACCGAAAGATCCCCAGTTCTATTCCTGGTCAGGGCACGTGCTTAAGTTTCGGGTTTGCTCCCCAGTCAGGGGGTGCGTTCAGGAGGCAATCGATTGATGTGTGTGTCTCTCTCTCACATCAGTGTTTCTCTCTCTCCCTTCCTCTCACTCTAAAATCAATAAAAACATGTTTGAAAAATAGTATCAATGTTTTGCAAGCCACCCAGTTTACTCTGATTGTTGCAATATTTCCCAGCTCTGCATTTTAGAAGAAACAAGCCTGTTCCTCTGATTGCATCCCTGGATGGGCACAGCATCCAGGCCTGCTGGTCAAGTGAACTGCTCTCATCCCTGAACAAGCAGCTCTCAGGGCCAAGGCCCCAAACAGCAGATGGCAGCCATGAACAGTGGTGTGATGAGGGAGGGACGGAGGGAGGGAGGGAGGGAGGAGGGAATGAGAACGAGAATGAGAGAAGAGAGAGAGAAGGAGAATGGTCGATGCTTAGGCCCTGCCCTTCGGAAAGATGCTTTTGTTTAGGAGACAGTCCTACCATCCCTGAAAAGGAAAACAAAGCAGCATTCATTTCCAGAAAGGACACTGAAGATGCTCTTGGGGACTTTGATGAGCATCTTGGCAGGTACACAGGTGTTCACTCTTGCTCAGCTGTATCTCCCTAAAGTCCAGACTCGCTGGTCATGGAAAGCACCCAGGACTAGATAATCAGCAGACCCCAAGTGCCTAGAATCAGACCGGACACTTAGCTGAGCCTCAGGCCAGAGATGGACTGAAAAGCAAGTTAGTGAGTGTGCCTTGAGGCTTAAGATCCTCATAAGCCACCCATGATGAAAGTCCTATACAGACAGAGAAAAATCTTGGAACATTGTCTTAAAACAAGCCCTTATGAGAACAGCGCCTGTCCTGGAGCACTGAGAGCACTTTCTGTTTCTACTGCCTGGTGTAAAGCCTTGCATAGGTTCTCTGCCTCGGGAGAAACTCCCCCATTTTCCTCTGTTTCTCTGGCCCTATTGTGGACATTTCTTTGTCACATGAACACTCCCTGTTTGTGAGTAGAAAGAAACTTCTCTCCATTTATGGGATTAGCCTAAACCACGGGGGCATCTTCCTCCTCGCGATACCCATGTCTGCTATCTTTCATTATTCACTGGCTAACATTAATCAGGGTCCCGTAGGGTACGAAGCTGTAAAAGGAAGCAGATATGTGAGCAGAAATACTATCCAGACAGTAGGTGATAAACGGATTCACCCACTTTAATGTGATTCCCTCTGGCCTTTGCTTCCTCCATGCCTCTGCTTTGCCTCCAGGAATAGAAAAACTTACCTGGGAAAGGGAGAAGACAAAAGCTTGCAGAATCACATTAGAGGGGGTTAATCCATTTATCAGTTGCTATTTGGATTGTTTAATCAGTTTCTAAGTCATTGATTTTCATCTTCAGGGAGGCAGACAAGTCTCTGCAAGAAAAGTGTTGGCTGTTTAGGGGCACACAGAGGAGCCCGCCACACCCTGTCATCAGTCTCTGTATCTCAAAGGCATCTGCATGTCATAGAGAATCATTTTGCAAATCGCCAAAAACCAGTACATCTGCCTATAACATTTTCATTGCCCAAATCCAGAAGGAAGTCCCTTTCTTCCTTCTCTCTCAATTGCCATCTTAACCATTTCTGGAACTCTCTTAAGAAAGCCAGGCACATCTATGAAGCAAGTAAACTCAGGGTTTCCTGACCAAGAGGCTATCATGGAAATCAGTCGAAAGATGGACAAAAAAAAGTGGGGTGTATTAAATGTAGGGGCTGAGTGTAAACAAAAGTTAAATTTCAGGATTGGTATGAACTAGATATAAAATGTGGAGATGCCAGTTACAACTTAGGTAGCTTCCCACATAAAAATCAATAAAAAAAATCTCACGTGTATCATTTTACAAAAACTCTCAGGAGGCCCTATCTCACCATTTGTCTCTCTCCTGTTCTCTTAGGGACCTGTTATTATGTCAGATTTTTTTCTGCCCTTTCACAAAATCTTTTAAGCAACCAAAGAAGCCGGTTGTCCCCAACGCACTGTATCACTTGTGAGTTATGAGGAGAAGGAAGTAGAATATAGAGTATAAGAACTCCCAGATAATCCTTTACAATTTTTACCACCAGCAGACCATTGGTAGAACACCCAGACCATTAAATCAGGGACTCCAATATGGCAAGAAATAAAAAATTCAGAAATGATCTAGTAGAGCAAAGAAGACAATGATGGAGAAATTGATCCTATATAAAAAGACCAAAGGAACAGAATTTAATTCATCTGATGAAGAGAAATTTCTGAGGTGACTGAATCAGAACAGGGTCCCCACATATTTTGGTGTCGGTTATTGGCCACAGAAAGTGCCAGGCCCAGGAGGTGAAGAGGTGCTACAATCTGTGTAGGCCCTGGTGTACGCAGCTGTGACATGCTAGAAGTGGGGGAGGGAGGGGCTGTATTTTAGTAGAGCAATGACCCAGGATAGGAAGGAATACTGAATGGTTACACTTCATTTCCAGCAAAATCCTTTCTGCTTCAGTTCCTACTGTCTTCTCATGACAGTAAGCTCAAAGCTTTCTTCCACCTTGGTAAAATGGCGTAGACTCATAGATAGCCTTCGCACTTGGTTCTCATACATGTTTTGGTATTTAGGATCGGTTTCGGGGTGAGAGTTCTCCCATGGAGCTCTCCCAATTCCCCAACCAGGCTTTGGGGCGGGCACTCTGCTGACACTTCTGAGGTTGCTTCTCTTGCTTATGCCTGTGTACACCTGCCTCGTCTCCCCTATTAAATGATCGACTCCTTCAGGTCAGGGACCACGTCAAACACATCTTTGGAACACCTACGGGCCTGTGCACAGGAAATGGTTAACAACGAGTGGGATGAAGGGCTCAGAAGAGAACGGCAGAGATGCAAGCAGTCAGCACAGTGATACCACCCCTGGGACTTCCCAGCAGGGACAGAGCACTGGGCTGGCTTTCTCTGGGGCAGAGTTATCTGTTGTGCTGAATGTCATTCACTGCCTGGTTTATTTCCCTCGTCCTCAGAGCAGAGCTGGTCCATGTCCAGAGAGATGGGTCAGTCATCTCTAACTCCCAGAGAATACAGGAGCGGTAGCTGAGAGCCCTGGGTTGCAGCAAGAAGAACACTGTGCCCCTACTCTGGTAGGTGAAGCACCACCTTACATGCAAACATCCTAGAAAAGTTTGTAAGACTACGCTTCATTGTCTCTTGAGAAGGGGACACCAGGTTGCATCTGCCCACTCAGCCTCCCTCTTGTTCAACGGCTTTTCGAGAAGAAAAAGCAGCAAATTATTACACAACAAAACTGTGATGGACCTTACACTGGATGCTTTACATATGGTATTTCATTGATTCTCACACACACACACAAAAATTGTGAGGTAGGGATTATCTGACAGATGAGGTAACTGAAGTCCAGAGATTAAGGGCTGGCTCCGGGGTTCACCTCCAGGTTGTCTGTGTCCCCAGAGACTCTCGGCCTATAATCTGCCTCCTGGGAATTCCAGGGGCAAACACTTTCTGACCAACATTTGCATATAAAATATTTCAGAAATCTCTTCATGAACTTCAGAAATCTCTTCATTCACCTAACCCATTATTTAGGAATCCCAAAGCAATAAAAGTTGAGGTTGGCCTGGTAAAAGCGGAAATTCCCTTTGAACTGAAACTTTATGTCCCTCTCACAGGGATCCATCCCGGTGACCTGCTTACTGTCATATGCTCTGCAGCAGAAACACTTCTCCGGAGAGCCCCGGGGCCCGGGGAGGGATTTTTTTAAACTAAAGCTCACACCACGGTTCTGTTGGCCTATGGCCTGACCCAGGGTGAGCAATTTCCTGGTACTGTATCTGAGATCATTAGAAAAAGGATTTTACTATAAATAGGAAGCTTGCCCAGACCTTGCAAGTGGGATTTAAATAGAGATTCTGCCCCTGCTTATGGGAAATTGAGTCCCGCTTTATAGAATAAGATGACAGTGAGGGCAAAGGCCCGAGTGGTATCTCGGTGGCAGCGCCCGCAATGATGGACTTGGTTTTCTGTTGATTAATGTTCACGGGCTGAGATCATATGAGAGATACAAGGAAGCTGCTGAGAAAATAAAGTGAGCCTGAAGAGTTTAGGAATTTATCTGGGCAGATAACTCCAAAAATCTCAATGAAAGAAAAGAACAGAAATCAAGAACAAAGTTCCTGAGGGGGGTTGGGAGGCCTAGAAGGTGGAGGGAGCATTCATATAAATCAAACCAAGAGAAAGAACAGCCAAGCCCCGAACTGTCCCACCACCACACTCAGGAAGGGTTACGCAGTCATTCTGGAAAATGCACACTATGGGATTTTCTACCTCAATCAGGCCGTGTCTATGGCAATCACAACCCCAACTCTTCCATAGAACTACCACCCAAACAGGGCTGCCTTTCTCCAGTTCCGTCTGATCTCTGCTGCGATATGCCTGCCACACATGAAGGAATGGGCGGCAGGGACAGTCTGGCATCAGCAACAGCCCCTCATCCGGCTCTTCCAAGACCTGAACTCTGTCCCAAGTGTCCTAGGGAAACAGGAAGCCAGCCAGCTTAGGCTGCTCCAGGGCACATCCACAAAAGCGTGACTTCACATCCTGAGCAGACGCTCAGGACCGCCTGCCAGGGCCTGGTGTGTACAAACACATGGCCGTGCTCGGTGCCCGCCACCCAGCCCTGACCCAGCCCCGGCCCCAGTCCAGCGGTGGTCTCCCGGGGCCTGCTAGTTGGAGTGCACAGCCCGTGGGGAACCGGGG